GTTGTTAGTTTGTTCGAGCATCACATTTGGTAATTAGATGAAAATAATATATGTTGCTGAAATTTTGTTTTTGTTTACAAGTATATGTTGCTGGTAATTAGATGAAAATAGAGATTGTTCTTTATTGTTAACATTGACTTGCTATATTATTATTGGAATAGATTTTTCATCTCCTTGTGTGTTGTATCTCTATGCATATCCATCTATCATTTTAATTACAATAGAAAAACACAATATGTAATAAACGTATTTTAGATATATATTTACTTCAAGCTTATAATCTTTGTATTGATGAGCAGTTGCCTGAAGATTTACATGGAAAGCAAAACCAAGAATTACAGATGCAAAAAGAATTGGATAACTTGAAAGATATCTTGACTTTTGAGAAGCAAAACTTAGAAATGGCTATTTATGATTGTGATAAATTCAGTTCGTTGTGCAATGAAAAAGATGTAGAGCTTAAGGTATTTTTTAAATGTTATTAAATTTGATTTATTAAGGGGACAATCATTCATTTTATTACTCCATTCCTTATAGGCTGCCCTATCAGAGAAGCAAAGCTTAGAAATGCGGCTTCCAAAGTTGAGTTCTCAAGGTTCGAAGAAAACTATTCCGAAAGAGTTGGTTGACGCAAATAATCAAGTAAAGCTATAAAGTATTATTTGGCCTTTATATTTTGTCCAGATTAGTATCCATAAAATAGAAACTCATGTGACCTCACTAGTTGCAGGTCTTTGAAAAGATCCATGAAGAGTTGAAAGATCGTTCTATGTTGTGTACCGCAGAAGAAACAAAAAAGATGCTTTTGAGTGAAAATCATCACTTGAGGCAAAAATTGTAGAGCTGGAAAATTAAGAAGAAATCAACTGAGGTATGTTGCCTAAATATCTCTTGTTTCGCATTTTCAGCTCTAAGAGTTGTGAATCTGAGTCATACTGGTATTAGAGCACTGCCTTCTTCCATCAATAGTTTATGTCAACTACGATCTCTAATACTACAAAATTGCAATGAGTTGAAAGAGTTACCAGATATTGGTAATCTTTTTCTGCCGATAGGAATGAACAAGTTAACAAATCTGAGGTTATTAAATATGCCCGCATGATTTGGAGAGTAGTATCGGCCAAGGATTTTTCTAGAAATTGTCTAGCCTTGAAATAATAAATATGATGGGTGGTTGTCTTAGATCCACTTCTTTTGATGAGATATTGTTTGCATCTGATTTGGAGAGTAGTATGCCACCAGGAAGTTGATTGTCAACAAGAAGAGTTTTGATGGATTAAAAATCACTACACATAGAGAGTTCTTCTTGTGATTTCACATTCAGCTATTATCTCTTTTTAAACTCAATCAATGCTCTTGGTCAGGTTTGATAAAAAGGGAAAGAGGAAGTCTCCAGGAAGCTGGAAACTGTTTTAAAAGTTTATTTCAGAAAATTATTCCAGGAGATTAAGATTACTTTTTACTTCCTTTTATTTTTGTGACATTCTTGGGGTTGAAGGAAGTGAACAGATATCCTTTGCCAAATCTGGAACATCTCACTCTCTCTTCGGTACATAATTTATAGTGTCTCTGATTTTGGTCATTTTCAAATGAAATAAGGAGATTTATCAGGAGATTAAAGTGTGTTTGGGTGTATTAGTGAGTGCATTCATGTGAATATCTCTGCTTTTTAGATTTTATATTTGTGTATTTTATAACTTACTTTGTCAAATTATAATTATATTTTATCTTTTATTTGTCAGGATGAACATGCATAATTGAACCATTGCTTCAATACAAGTACTATTGGAAGATCAGACTATTCAAAAGTTATAACTAGTAGGATTAGAATATAATTAATGACTTGCTTATTATTTTTTCTTACAAGTAGAAACATATGTAGAAGTATTTAGTTCTTTGGAATATCAATCTTATATTGACCTTTGCAAATTTATATAATTCTTAATATAAATATTTGTGAAAATTTTTCTAGAAGAAAAGTGTATTGTGTATATAGCAGCTATTCACAAAATTGTTGCTAAAAGTGTAGAAAATATTTGTATAAAAATTTCTAAAAAAGAAAATGTGTATTATGTATGTAGCAACAACTCACAAAATTGTTGCTAAAGGTATATAATAAATATGTTTATTGCAATAAAAATTATTGTTGCTAAAAGCTTTCCTAACACATTACTAACTAACTTTTTGTCAATTTTTTACAACAACTGATATTGTTGGTAAAAAAGTTAATTTTTTGGCAACATTAAATTTTGTTGCGAATTTTTTATAAGCAACAACTATATTAATGTAAGGAACAATTAGTTTGGTTGCAATAAGTTAGTTTTTTGGCATCAATATATTTTGTTGTTGCAAAAACTTTTCTCATCAGCGTTTATTGCAACAACTTTTATATTGTTGCCAAAAGTACTTTTTGCAACAACATCCTATATATAGCAACAAAAATAATTGTTGGGAAATGCCATTTTTCTTGTAGTGTTTGATAAGTTCAGGGGTTCAGATGACAAAAGAGCAACTAGAAGGGTTCACAATACAAACGCGTACAAGTATAAGAGTCCACCATACCATTTCGCCTTCAAAAATTATAAAGGAAGAAGTTGAATTCCACTAAAAGATTGACAAGAGGGGGTTGCTCGAA